ATTACTCATGCCTATACTTGCCTGTGGTCTTCTAGGGTTTTGCGAGCCCATTCATATGCTCCGTCAAGATTATCGTAATTTTTCTGGTAGAAGCAATAATTGTCTGACAATTCTCTCCTTACCACAGCTTCTTCGACATAAGCTTCTACAGATTTGCTTAGCTGCTTGTTGTATCTCTTGACTTCCAGGACACATCTCTGGGCTGATATTTGGCCTGTGGTAAACCCCATATAATCAACAGTGTGTAATATGCATACTTTAGTAATATGTGTATTTGTCTTTGTGAGGCAAACTGATAATATACTGTATATATATTTTTTATTGTTATTTTATTTTTATCTTTATCATTTTATTATTATCAATAAGAAATATATATATACATATATATATACATATATATATATATAGATATATATATATATAGATATATATATATATAATATATATATATATATATACATATATATATATATACATATATATATATATACATATATATATATATATAGATATATATATATATACATATATATATATATATCTATATATATATATATGTATATATATATATATAGATATATATATATATAGATATATATATATATAATATATATATATATAATATATATATATATACATATATATATATATAATATATATATATATACATATATATATATATATAGATATATATATATATACATATATATATATATAATATATATATATATAATATATATATATATACATATATATATATATAATATATATATATATATAATATATATATATATATATATATGTATATATATATATATGTATATATATATATATGTATATATATATATATGTATATATATATATATCTATATATATATACATATGTGAATGTGACGCAAGGGTTCATAGGTATATGTCTATGACTGATCTAGAAGCATTTATAGATTACATGCACATTCAACCCTCAGCCATTGTGCATTCCACTTTCAGGAAAACCTGCCATTGCGCACACCTTGAATGATAGCATCCCTCTGCTAACACACACCTATCTATGTTATCTCATCCAAGATAGGACGCATCAGTTGTTTTGAACTTAAGAATGGAAGTTCGTATAAGGAAGTGCAACTAGTGAGCCTTTTGATGGCCATTAAAAGGACAGTGTTTGGCAAAGGGGGGGGGGGGGGGTTGGAGTTAGATAGACAATGGTATACATACACAAATGAGGAAATTACCAAATGATTGTTAGAGCTCACCTTGGGTTATTTCTTGGGAGGGACAAGGGTATATGTTTGTGAATGTCTAAAGTACACTTTTATACCAATATGAGAAAATATGAAAATTACAATGATTTATGATGAAATATCCTGTGTACACTTACACATAAAAAATACTTTCACCAATCAAGACTCCCTAGTAATATACTGTAGCTTATAAATAAGTCTGTAGGTGTTAAAAAATTAAAATAAAATAAAGATAATGATATTTCCATATGGATTTCCTCTAATGGTTGCTACCGACCACCGTCAGCAAATTTGTTTTGATTTGAAACTGGTCCTTTCTATTGTAAAGAGCACTTAACACTAAGGGGATCTCAGAGGCAGATTTCTGAACTTCGAAAATATATGTGAGATATTGATTATTTTATGCTGAAGATAATAGTAAACAATGATACCTGCTCTAAAATAAAAACTATGTGGAATTTTGAAAATCAGTCTTATCAGTCTTCAGTTGATATACAATGATATTCAAAGAATCCAAAACTATCTTCAATGTGTATTTCATCCAGGGGGTTATTGTTAACATTTTGGTCTTTTCTGGGACAATGTTTCCCTATGGAGGAATACTCTAGTGTGACCTATTGCTGGGAGCTACACAGCGGGGATCCCCAGACAGACAAAATTAGTGTATGCTTAACCTCTTTGATCCAAATAATGGAAAACTTGGCTTGAGCCTCTGCGAACATGGCATCAAGGGAAAATTTGGCTGAGGGTTGAGGTGATGTAATCTTGCCATGGTCAGCATTTTGGCTAAGGGCTGGGGCGTTGGGAATAACCCATAAGTGCACAAAGCTCAAAGGTATTTAGGAAGGGAATTTTGAATCATTTCCATCAGTAAACTAGTTTGGAATGTATGATCCATAAGCCACTGAGTTATGGACTATCTAGAGAGATGATATGGAATCTGTGAAAGGAAAATAGTATATTACCACCCAGTTAAAGAAAATCAAATGACAAATATAGACTTTGGAAAATGGCAAAAAAAGCTAAAAAAATAAAACAGAGGAGCAAATATCAATCATAGAGAAGACACACAGTCTTGTTACCAGACACAAGTGTGCGTGTGTGCCTGGCCTACAAGCCGCACACCTGTCAGACTGGCTGAAGTAAGTCTAACACCCGTATTTAGGGCCATGTGATGGCAGTGAAGCTTCTAGATCCAATGGGTTAATGAGCAACAGGTCATGGAAGTCAGGGGAACCTTCAGCTCATGACATTTGTATTTCTGAAGAAAATGTAACAGAATTGCTCCAAATACATCTCTTGCATGATGAAGTTATTCATTCTCATTTTTACAGCTTTTTCTACATTGGAAGTTTTTTGATGGGTAGTGTTTATGGAAAAATATTACAAAACAAAATATGTGTGTACATCATCTGCCTGAGAACTAATTAGAATTATTACCATCAATTCTAATGTTCTGCTACTGCTAATTACCATTAAAGCATACAGATGTAGAATTAGGTGCACTAGCAAAGGGGTAGTTGTATACTTAGTAGTAAATTTTTATGTATGTACAAATCTGCTTCTTCACATGCACAGCCAAATAAATGAAATGAAGTATAAAAACCATCAACTTACAGACAAACAAATAACGGCAATCCAACTACTAACCAAAATGTATCCAAGGTGACAGGTTACTCAGTGCATTTATTGTTGGATCATTACGGCTGTCGGCAAATTTGCGAAGGCGTTTCAAGCAAAATTCATTCAGAAGGTCCAGGCCTGCTCTTGTTCCTGGAGTTGCCCAGTCTACCGGCTTGACTGCTTGGTCTACCTCTAGACTTTTCTCAGCCTCTACCCAATCCACACCCTATTAAAAGAAGTCACAGTCATAAGAAAGTGCAAAATCACAGGCACCAAAACACACTGACATACAAAAAAATACATGAAATCAGCCCAAGTCAGAGTATAAAAATACAATATATAAAGATTTCCTGACAAGTACAGAAACTCTTAGCACAGCCAACAATTGAAGAGGAATAACACTTGTACTTAACTTTCTTTTATCTCCCAATTTTTTTTAAATTTAATTACCAGATTGTTTCTCCAGACACTAGGTTAAGAAACACATAAAATTACTTAAATATAGAGTGGATAACTTTAAAACAACTCAAATCCCTTTTTTTCTATTAAAACTTTAAAAAATAATAAATTATCAAAAGTTTTACTTCTTTTCATAGTACTTTTCTTTACATGGATTTTCAATCCTGAATCCAAACAAGTTATTTTAAGTTATTACCACCAAATCTCAAACTCAGTCTCAAACTGCTGAAAATTTCCAAGCCCTAAATACTAATGCAGGGAGAGAAATGCAACTCTTTATGTTTCATCTTGTTTTACATTTTTTTGTACTTGAACTGAAGTTTACCAAATTAAAGTCAGCTTTAAGGAATTAGCAGAATATTAGTTTAAACATTCACTTTAAGCCTTTTTATTGTCCCTTAATTTTTTTACCTTAAACAAATCAAACTGAAATCCATATAGGGGCTATTACAGAAGGCAAATTTTTGTGTACATTACACACATGCTTGCTTTAACCAGGGAAAATATTTGTAAACAACAAGAAACAATAGGGAAGTCATTTCCAAACACTAAGCTGTGATGTTATAACTACAAAATATTAGTTAATTCTCAAGACAGCTGCAGACAATAAATCATCATTGTTTAACAAAGCTCCCCTAGTTCCCTAGATATTATTCCCAGGCCTGGCTGAGGCGGTGATAATCCCTAACTTGAGTCATATACCAGGGAGTTAATGTGATTATCTTTTTTCATAATCTTTATAGTAATATGAGAACCTCTTTGTTTCATTATGATTAATTATATCTATTTTGATAAAATTAGAACAATTTTTTTTTTTTTTTTTTTTTTTTTTTTTTTTTTTTTTTTTTTTTTTTTTTAATATATACACCAATGCAATCTATGTGACTTTTGCAGAAAGTATAGGATTGGAACCTACATTATAAGACAGACATACCTCTGATTTGTACTTGCTTGTATAACGATGTTTAGCAACAGGTGGGAATTTTGTCAAGAACTTGGGTAGCTTGTCGTGAATTTTCTTTCTAATTGTTCTTGCTGAGTATTCTTGTTTATCTGAGGTTATCCAGCAAGGCACAATGTTATGTGCATCAACCTGTAGCAAACCAATAACGTCCCATTTTAATAAAAAATGGCAAATAAAATCACAGAGAAACCATCAATATTATTATATACAAAATATATGCTTCTGTATATCTTTCAGTACCTATAATCATAAGTCTAAAGGCACAATTTAATCACCTTGCACATCGGAATGCTACTCGGAATAGCTTTCTTAACATCTTTGAGCCACTGCTGAGGAACACGCAAGGGTGAGAAATCTGTAACTAATCCCCCAATTTTGTGTTCCTTGATGAAGGTGGGCAAAACATCTTTTGCTTCACCAAGGAGAAGGTGAAACTCTATGTTAAGTTCTTTGCACTCTTTCTCGACCTCCTCCAGACCTGTAATCAATAAAGAGTTAATGGCTGTGCACAAAGATTTTTTTTCTTTTAAGGTCTGTAATAATGTTGATTATGTCCAATACAATTATGAATTAACATTATGTACCCAAAAAGACAACTTAAAAAAGGAGAATATTATATTACATATACACATGAATAATTACAAAATCCCCAAAACAATATTAAACAACTTACCCCTTAACATGAAGTGAAAATGGCGAATGGTTGCATCCAAAAACTTTGGAACCAGACAGAATACAACATGGAGTGACACTTTATTCTTCAATGCTAGTCGCTGGGCAAACAACAATGCCCAGTTATCTGGAAAATACAATCTAATTATACACTGCAGATCTATTTGAGATTTTCAAGTAGGTTCAACCAAATCCAATATATATATATATATTTTTTTTTTTTTTTGCCTAAAAAAACTAAATTGTAATATTTTCTAAATTGTAATCTCAGATTCTAATGCTGTGTTAACCTGTCATAACACCTACAGCATAAAAAAATCCTTAGGCCTACCTTGAACTCTCTGGTCTCGAGACATCCAGTATACAATCCCATCACAATCATCAGGTACTTCTCCCTCTTTACTAATCACTTCTACTCGCTTCTTATTGAACTTAAATTCACTTACATCCTCAGCCTCCTGTTAAGAGAAACAACATGAATATATAAACATTATTTTATCTTAAACTGGAGTCGACTTAAAATAGCTCTGGTAACTTCTTGCATTTGTATTACTATCATTCAAACAGGAAGATATGGCAAGGTTTACTTCATTCAAGAAGGTTCTACTTTTATATTTTATTTTCCACCTGAATATATACTAATGATGAATAGAAATTATTTTAATGATAAGTGTTTGAGACTGTGAATGCAAACAGAAGATAAAATGTTACATGACATAAAACAAAGATTTTCAAATGATGCCATTATTAGGGATATGTTACAGAAGAAAAAAAGAAAAGAAAAGGAAAGAAAAAAAATAATAATTTCACTAAGTGTTAACCATCACGTCATGAGAAAAATTTGGCTTGTGGGGTGGGTCACATGAACACACTATCACAGGAAAATTTACCAGAGGGTCAGGGTGACAGGTGACATGCTGTCATGAGAATTTTGGCTGAAGGCCAGGGTGACAGAAATGACTTGCCATGAGTACACGATCAGACTCAATGAGCATTTAGGAAGGGGCTATCAGTAAGCAAGCGTGGAATGTACCATCCCTCAGCCATGACTGGAATGCCAGCTCCTGGGAGGAATCTACTTCCATGCTCAGGATCCTATGCCTGCCCACCATGACCAGTGATGCAGGTTGTATTACAGACAACTGAATATTTAAATAAATAAATAAATAAAATAGAATAAAGAAAAAGAAAGAAAGAAGGAAAGAAGAAGACGAAGACACAAATAACAAAATATAATTTATTAAATTAGCTGTTTTTGCCAGCCAGGCACCTGCTGGCCTCTTAGCTTTGTAAACTATTTAGCCAGTGCTGATCTTACCCAGTCATTTGTAGTATATGACTCTATTAGGTTTTACTGTGTTATACAATCACAAACCTGCTTGAGTTTGACCTGACCTGAGGGCTAGACTAGTAAGACAGGTTATTTGTAGTTTTGATCACACCTGTCAACTTATAATGAACAGAATTAATAAAGCTTCAAAATCAACTGAAGATCTGACTTGCCCATATCTTAGATGCTTAACTTACAAAGCAGCCTTTGTTATATTTATTGTGTAAACAGGAATTCCACCATAAAGTGTTTCACACAGAGCCATGTTAAGTTCAGATAGATATAAAATAAGTAAAAAAGTGAAAAAAATCCCTATGTTGCTAACTTTTCCTATCCTATTCTAGTTTATTCTAAATTAACTTGACTACATGGCTAAGCATACATGTGATTACTAGAATTACTATTATTATGTCAATGCAATCATCTGTGGGAAGTGAGTATCATGACTTGATGTATTAATATATTGGTGCTGGGTACATAAACTGTCCATGAAAGTTTCATATTGTTGATTTTGCTTACACAGACATGCATTTACAAGCACATTCTCTGCTAGGGGTCAGTTATAAAGCCTACCTAAACTTACTGGTTTAAGCACTTTCTTATTACAAAAAAAAACTCTCCTCTTCAGAAATTCATACATTAAAGTGCATGAGATATAATATCACACAAGTGACACACTTTCATGCTCTAAGAACCTACTTCATATCGCTCCTTCTTCAAGCGCTTGTGGATATTGAGAGCGTCTTCATCAATTTTCGCTTTCTTGGGTGCTGGTTCATCTGATGCCATACTTCTAATGGATGCAAAGTCTCTACACTGAATAATACAGGATACCTTATAAAAGGTGGATATATTCGGAGTCCTGCTTCTGATAAATCCTGTAAAAGTAAAAAAAAATATTACTTAATATATCATAAATGCTAAGCATACATAATATCTTCAGCAAGAAATTCAAACCTTTATATGAATTAATCTAAAGTATTACAAAATCATACCACTGTTGAAAAATTTGCCCTGTAGACTGTTACATGGCTGAAATCCATGATCTAATTCAAAATCTATCTATAACCACTTCCATCATGTAAATGCCTACTTAAAGAAACTGATCCCGGCATAATTTCAACAACATCTATAGAAATGTAAGACATATGCCAGGGAAACTGTTAAGCAAACATCATCACCATTACAATTAAGATGATAATAATCCTCCATTCTGTGATGCACCTAATGGTTTAAATTCTGGTACCATATCTAGGGAAGAAGTGGTCTAAAATCCTACATAACTTTTTTCTGTCTATATCACAAGGTGATTAAGGCATTAATATCAATGTGACAAACAAAAGCTTCTGCTTTCATCAAACAATGAGATCTTACTTTTCCTATAGTATCTCATTATTAGGTACTTTGTTTATATTACCTCAATGAATCTACTTGCTTCACTGCCATCACATGTCCCAAAATATGGGCTTAAGGCATTGCTTATAGGCAGGGTGCACCTGAACACTCGTGTGCAGTGATAAGACTTTTTTACTTTCAAGTACTTTCCCCTTGATTTAGTATTTCAGAAGGTGACTGCTATTACAAAAGGTCTGGGGACTCTCAGGTCTAAAAAATGTATTTATCCTTTTCTAATGCACACACTAAGTCTAATATATACTTTGCAACAGAAGTACCTAAATCAATATTTTTTTTATTTTCAATAAATAACACTTTCTACATGCAAAAATGGATGGATAAGCATTACAAAATTAAGAAAATAAAAATTGAGAAATTTAAAAAGATTTTTTGATTTCCTGAAAAGTAGAAAAATTACTTTGGGTAGTATTTCATGAGAGTGATGATATGCAATCATTAGGTGACTCCATTCCATAACCCCATTCGTACATGGAATTATACTCATGCCAATATACTCATATTTCATGCTGAAAAGCACCATGCGATAGCCAGAGCCACCATACAGGTCAGCATTCTATAAGGGGCAATACACCAACTTATATATCATGAGAAAATAATGTGACTTATTACCAAACTTGATGAAAATTAGCCTGGGAGGCCTACAAACTTAAGCTTCCCAGAATATACGCCAGCGATCTTCACCATTTTATAACAGACCCTTATAAATTGTTAGTTCCCATTTATTTGCCCATTCTATTATTTATTTTAATCCTAGTTCTAGTTTGTTTTTAGCCTCTTCTAGATTATTATTTATTGCCATAATTGTTATGTCATCTGCATATGTTACTTTTTTAAATTCTTCCATTAGGGTTAAATCTGATATCATTATATTGAACAAAAATGGACTTAGGAGTGAGCCTTGAGGGAGGCCTCGTTCTATGTTTTCTTCTGTTGATTTTTTGTTTCCTATAACTAATTGGTAGGTTCTGTTTCTTAAGAAGTCTATGATCCACTTGAGTGGGGCACCTGTAATTCCTAGTTTTGCTGCTTTTATTACTATTGCTTCGTGATTTATTGAATCAAAAGCTTTTTCCAGATCTAGGCAAGCTATTAAAGAATATTTTTTTTCTTCAAAGGCTTTGTTAATTTGATATTCTATTAATTGTAGGGCGTCTATCGTTGAGCTATTTGGTCTAAAATCTGTTAGGTCTTCATTTAATTTTTTGTTGATTTCTAACCACCAGTTTAGTCTATTGGTTATTATGCTTTCAAATATTTTCCCTAAACATATTCTACTTATGCGTCTATACGATTTTTTATCTGATGGGTCTTTACCTGGTTATATTATAGGATTTACTAATGATTATTTTAGTTCTTTCGGATATTCTCCTTTTAACCACTAATTGTTAAGTATTGATAAGATTTTTTCTAATATGTTTTGGAGACATTGTTTGAAAAATCAATTTGGAATTTCGTCAGATCCATAGGTTTTTCCGTTATTTGATTTTTTTATTACTGAAGTTAATTCCTTTAAAGTGAGATTTTTGCTTATTCCTTCTGTGTTTGTTTTTTTCTGTCAGGTTCTATATTTCTGTTTTTGTTAGCAATCTTTTTGATTTTTTGTTTATTGATTTTTGGAATTCTTCTTTTAGCACATTGAGTTTTTGCTCTGTGTCTTGGATAGGTTGATTATTAACAATTAATGAGTAAGTATTAATTCTATTTTTACCATCTAGTTTTTTAATGAAATTCCAAATCTCTGGATACAGTGTTAAAGTCCAGAGAAGAACAGAAGTTTTCCCAACTATTTTTTTTGGTTTCAATTATGGTTCTTGCTTTAATTTGAAGCTTTTTGAATTCAATTCTATTTACGTCATTTGGGTTTTTTCTTCCATCTATTAAAGGCTTAATTTCTTAGTTTTATGATTTTTTTTTATTTTTTGATTCCACCAGGGTTTGCTTGGTCTATTTTTCTTAACTTTATCATCAAATTTAAAATATTTTTTACCAGTGTTTTTTATTAGGTCTAATATTTCTTTAATTGAATTCATGTCCTTGATGTCTTTATTATCCATTTATTCTTGTAAGTATCTCCATCCTTCATTACTGAGGTCCCATTTTTTATCTATTTATATGTGATTGACTGATTAGTTAAAATTATCTACCGCGTCAACAGCTAAGGCCATTAGCGGCGTATTGTATGTGATTCGTACAGAAAAAAAACGTCACTAACCTCTAGAAAATCGGCCTACAACGCGGAAAGTCCTGTGTATGTTTACTAACAATTTCATAAGCACCACCTCTCATGCTCCGCGC